AACTCCTTCCCCAACATGAAAATCAACATTCACGTACGCAACAAGCAAGAGTAGACATTTGAAGAACAGAACACGATCTCCAACAGAACTACACAAAGTTACCAGTGGTAAATTAAAACCTAACAGTAGAATACTGAGCAGGTGAGAGTGGTAACAGAAAATGATTTAAAGCAGGGAGAAGCGTCTACCGAGGTGCTGCAAAATGCGTGGGCACGAAACCAGGCTTGCTTAACTTCAAGGATCTAGTAAAAGCAGCATGTAAAATTATATTTGGAGAGGACAAACTAAGAGGCGTTTAAAACTCCAGTGAGGACAGCGAAGTACTAAAGAACCTGAAGAGGTCAGAAATATGGCAGGAAATGAAATGGGCTTCAACCTACAAAACTGCAACCTGGTTCATCTGGGGAAAAATAATCCAGAACACAAATACTAAATGACAAGGAGATATTTGCAAAGCAGTAAAATAAAACAAAACATTAAAAAATCCCCAAAAACCCTCTTGGGGGAAAATAGCAAGCAGAAAACTGGATATCAATTTGCAATGCGATATGGCAGTACAACCAGCCAACACAATTCTGGATGACTTGCAGAGCACAGCTTGTCACAGAACAGGGATATGACGGTCCCTTTTCACATAATACTGATGGGAACTTACTGACTGGGGCAATTTCAAAGTAACTCAACAGCAGCAATGGAAGAATTTGGATAGACTAATGACAGAAGAATGTAAACCCGTAAAATGAAGTTCAGCCGTGACTGAAGATGGGAGGTAGGGCTAACGCTGAGGAAAAGCCAATGTCTACAGCCATTTAACAGGGTGCCACAGGAGTAAAATGGGCAAACTTGCTCAAAAGAAAATGGATCATTTGAGAAAAACATATCATTATAAAGACCTCTTATCCCACTGGGAAAAAAGAGGAAAGAGGCTATGAAGGAAATCACACCGCCCAAGTCATTGAAAGATTAGACCGATAAATCAGCTAAACTGTCCTGTATGCAACATTTCCAGATTTACACAACACAATGAACACTAGCCGATAAATATATTTTCTCTCTGGCTTCTAGGAAAATCTTAGGAAGGGCTTACCAGAAGAATAACGTCTCGTTCACCAGAGTCGTGGCCCACACATGACTGACATTACTGTAAAGACTCTTGAAGTCAGATCTAGATCAAGTCCAAGGTCAGGAGGGAATTTGGGACACATACAGAGGTGTTAAGGTTCAAGCAATATTTATCTTTAAAACTTGAGAACCTTGAGAATATACTCTTTGCAGTTTATTAGCGGAGTTGGCGTTCCATACAATTTGGTACATATTTTATACTACTTCTCAGTGTCACTGATACCCATGATCTCAAGTCTACTGCTTTTGATCTTACAATCGAAATCATAGCTAACAGATGGATGCACAAAGGAAAAAAAAAAAATTAAATCACTTGATGTTGACATTGTCTCAAACTTTGCAACCTCACTGCACATTCCCGAGTGATGGCATGAGAGTGGTGAACAAAAGAACAACTAGTGCAGGCTGCTTCTTTCCAGGGGAAGTCCATTTAAAAGAATCAAATATTTACCTAAGAATTTTCCGTGACCGTTAATGGCTTGCCAATCTCAAACTATTCTTAACTAATACAGTCTACTTCCCTGACAGAATTCATTAGAATTGGGTAGGTCATGAAGTTATCTCCTTACTTCTAAGTTCCATATTGTGACTATCAGAAAAGAACACTATTCTTGAACCGTTGTTGCAAGAGTTTATCTGCAACTTGCACTGACCTGCCAGAAGCCTGAGAGAAAGCCATAATGGCAGTTTCCTGCACTTCTTGTTAAGTTAGACACAGATCTAAATATAAATGTTCTTTACTTGTGCTGCACTAGGACTTAAAACACGTTTCTAGGAGAGAGCTTTCCAAGCATATCTAGAGACATAACAGCTTTCCTGTTTTGAACTGGTCTTTAAGACTTTTGGCAGTATATGACAAATATGGAAATAATCAGAACTCTTGTATGTGACACTAGAGTACTTGGAACACATAAAACCCACTCAAAAAAAGGTATCAAGTCACAGGCATTAACTGGTTATAAATTAGATGTATGCTGCATTGTCAACAGCTATTTTATGCTCTCCTCTGCATTAAAATTCAAAAATATCAAGGCAGCTTTACTCATACATAACAGGCATAATAAATCATGTGATTACATAATAAGTTATAAGATTAGCCTTGAAAAAGTCCAGCCTAAAGTCAGATTTTAAAAAATATTTTCTTGTACTTTAAACACATCACCTTTTAAACTACCACCATAAGCTATAAAGCCATCCTCTGCATCTCAGCCATATTTGGCTCCATGTTCCAAACACAGGGTTTCTGCTAGCTGCATGGGTCCCAGTACAAATCAATGCATTTTGAAGCCAAAAGAGGCTTATGTCCATACAGCACGATCACAGTAACACAAGCTACAGAGTCTTCCTCAGTGTCTATTCAATTCAGTAACTTTGTTGGAACTAGAACACGCCTTTTAGGAAAACTTACAACCTCCATTAAAATTCTTCATCTCACTCAAAACTGATCCAATGGTTAAAGTCAAGCAGCTTAAATTCAGGACTTTTTAAAAACTCAACCATGTAGTTAGAGAATTGCAAGGGGCCTATAATCCATGGTTATGTATCATGCTATTTAAATGCAACTGTAATTAACTGGTTGACTCAACTTTGCACCAATACCGGAAACTTGCACATAGGCTGCCAGTCTCAAGACAAGGTCAAGATGGCTCCTACCATGCTTCTTAACTCACATTCTTCAATTGTTCAAAACTACACTCGAGATCAGTTACTGCCATAAACTTATATTCATCAGGGTTAGCTGTTTTTGTGGACTTAGCTTGGAAGAGTCTACATGGCCCAGCATGCTTAAAGAGAACATTCAACTGGAGCCAGCAACTTGGGTTTGGAACACTGTTCTATTCTGATTCCAAACCACACATATTTGAACAGTTAACAAATGCGGCAGGGGGATATTGGTACACAGCAGTCTAAAAAATGTACAAATCCTTTGTTGTTTGGTTGTGGGTTTGTTTTTTTTTTTCATACGCCCAAAAGAACAATTTGGTTGCTTCATTATATAAGCACATAACAAAAAAAAAAAAACCAAAAACACCTTACCAAACAAAACACGAGTGCAAGGTTGCTTATACGTGGTGGCGAGTGTTTTGGGTTTTTTTCCCCTCCTGCGTTATCTACATATTCTCAAGTACATTTGTTTATCTAAAATAAGTTTTGATCAGATTTGGTAGAGTGGAGAAATGTAGTAAGTGAAAAAGGTTTTTCTTTTTGTTTGGGGTGTTTGTTTTTTTCCTTGTAGAAGACTGCTGGGTCAGAAACTTCTTGCAGAGTGTGTGCAAACACTACAATAATTTCACAGTGCTTGTCTATGACAATAGTATTTCAGAATCTAGTGGAAACAAAACTGTGGTTCAGCTCATCTGTCTTAACCTCATCTCTTAATTGACAGTTAACAAGTTAAAGGGAAATATGTCACACAGGCAAACACAAGCTAGAGATAAGGCTGGTTGGAGGCCCTCCCTTTCCCAGTTGCTATCTAGTTTGTCAACCGTTGATAACATCATCGCTACTGTGCATAGGCTGTATCTCAGAAGTATGTCAAAACGTGAATTTTAAGTATATGTGTATCTTGAAACAAACTATAATAAAAACACAGCTCAACTGGTAAGACAGCTAACAGAATAGCCAGGTGTGTTTCTCCCCACCTTTACATGAATAAATCAATCTGTACAGTCACAAAATTAAGACACGTACAAGCAAAACAGATGTGTTTTCTCAGGGATGCACTTAGAGTTCTCGTGTAATTTTATGTATGCATATGTACTTATCAAATTGTAATCCCTGACCTCTTGGTTTTACAAATCAAGCTAAGTACCAAATACCTAAGACATATATGTAAACACTTCAATTTTCACAGCAAAGTACACCTAAGTTCACTTCACTTCACTCACACTTCATCAAGCTTATTGTTCTTTACCGAAGCACTGAGGGTAGACACTTCAGGACTCCAAGCGTGGCATAATAAGACAGGAAATGGAAAAACCAAATGGGAAGACAAAACAACCAGAAAACCCAACATTTTGCCAACATTTTTCTCTAAGCTTTCTGCCAAAAAATTTACTTAGGATTTTCTTTCACTTCTTCAGCACGCAGGATCTCACGTACATACAACAGGACTTCTTGGCACAGTACTATCGTATAAAGTAAACCCTTGGCTACAAAGAGTAAAAAGAATCTTCTCTCAGAGCAGCTTTTTTAGAACTTAGCCCTTTCCCTCTTCCACATTCACAGTCAGTGCTAATGAACATTCAGGTACTTTAATCATCGTCACCATTATTTTGTTGAGACCACATTACACTAGTAACTGAACACAGGAAGCAAGCCAAAGCATCCGTCCTGATGTGCTGACACTTAACATCCACGTATGCATGGGTAAACAGATAAGCATGTGGACCTAAGGGCATATATCCACACTTTTTATAAGTGAGAACTATTGTACAAAATGAAAATTAGAAGATAATGACACTATATTGATGCCAGAACTCTTCAACCCTTGGAAGAATTGTTTTTCTGCACAGCTACATGGAAGCTGGAGGTAAAGCAGGGAGAACTCCTCTTCCATTTCAACTCTGCATAAGGATTCCACGGTGGAAATAGCCTTTTAAAAATTTTGCTTTAATCTAATGCTGTAGCTTAATAATTCCTATTTTATGTTGCAGCTTTTCCATGCAAATTTCACTTGTTATAGTATCAACAAATGCCATCTATTGAAGAAAAAGCAAATTGAATTAAATGGGCTACAGCACTAATAATAGCTCACAGTAAATTTGATTAAATCATTGTTTCTTTGGGTAAGGAAAGATAACGGATCAGAAATTGCAGCAGGTATTAATACGCATTTTTACACTATTACTGATTGGAAATATAAACTGCTTACTGACCTGGGGCCACTTAGAGTTGCAGTGTCCCTCACTGCCTGTGCAGTTTCCGACGCGAAATCCAGAGCTCCAGCCACAGGTTTGGTTACTGTGCCAACCAGCCCTTTCCCAAGGCCTGATATGAAACCACTGACACCTCCTTCAGTTTTCACACCTTCGACTGTTGAAGTTATTACACTTGTCAATCCTCCAATGATACCTAGCAAAGACAAGAACAGCAAAGTAGGCCAGAAGTACTGCCTCTAAAAATTACAGAGCCTTGTCACAGCTGATGCTGTCTGCCTGAATGATTTACTGTCAAGCTTGATAGAAACGTGCATTTAATGTAATACAAAAACTGTTTCACAACTGATTACATATTAGCTAATAACTTTATGCTTTGTATATGTAGGATACACACGCATATGCACAGACAATAATATCCCACGGAAAGAGTTAATTCAGTATGTATATTTGACTGTATAACTATACATAAAGATGTGTATTTTAAAATATTTCTATACTGTTTTATTTCCCAGCTGTATTTACACAAACAGTCCTCATCTATTCCTGAGGTGAAGCAGTTACTTACAATGTGACAAAATTCTATTACCACAAAAGCTTATACAATTTGAGACAGAAAATAGAAAAGTGCATTTCTCCACCTTAAAAAGTCAATTATTTTAAACTGGCATTGTGTGATTTTAACTGTGATGCTGCCAACAGCCATTTCTGTGCACGTTCCCGTTGCTGAGAATTTGAATGCTCTGAAGAAATCAAGAACCTACTGAGGCTTCAAAAGACTTGGAACGGTTCATAGTACTGAGAACACGCTTTACAGTTTTCAGATCTCCACAATTAGAATATCCCAATTTTTAGTGAACTGGCTTAAGCACTCATTTAAAATGCTTACCGCCATTTGGCTCTTCAGCTTTCAGCAGCCCGGTACTCTTTTAAGGTCTGTAATTGAAGTACAGACCAGGCAGCATCTTAACTTCCAAACTCGAGAAGCACAAAGTATTTAAAGCACTTCTCTTGAGTACCTATAGCTTATGGTTAATTCCTACATTTCAACAGATAGGATTTAACAGTTTTTTGCTTTTTTGAAAAAAAACTGAATAGGAAGCATTTAAAAACTCCACAGAATTAAACTAAAACAGTCCTGCTAATTACTGGATAATACAACACAATGAAGTGCTTTTATAATTGACTTTTCAGCAAAGATGGACATATTTCAGATTTCTGGCATTTCTACCAATATAATTTATATCAGACTTCACAGCACACGGGTGTGAGAGAAACCTCTCTCATGAGCCATTTGAATACCTGCAGTGTCTCTTTATGACAGAAGTCCAGCATAAAGACTTCTGCTCAGCTTAGAAAAGATTGTGGGTTTAGTGAAAGCCAGATTATCGTTACACAGGCTGCAACGCTTGCGTTAAAAGACTGACATTTAAACAAACTGAGTCAAGACGATGCAAAATACAAATGTCTGATTTAAACTTGGCTTGTACTGATTTAACTTTCTTCAACAGATAAATCATGAACTAAATTGATGTGAGATTCTGGCCAAATTAAGACTAGGCCGCTGCCTTTTACACAAATTCATTTCTCTAGTTCTTAGTAGACTTAAAAAAACAAAAACAAAACCACAAAATATCCCAACTGGTGAAATGTTACTTTAAACTGATGTACTGATTCTGAGGAAACTCAGCTTTCTGGAACTGAAAGCAAACATAAGAAAGCTACAATCCAACCATACTAATTTTTATTTTAAAGCCTGGCCCTCAGAAAGACTGTTTGCATGGGTATTTTATGTCTCTATGAAGAAACTGAAGTTTTGGATGAACTTTCTTTTAAATTTTGTTTTAATTTGAAAAAAAGCTTTTACTTACAGTTACATGTGAAAAGACCTTATTTTTAAATGTAGTTTCTGTCAACTTAAAAAACAAACAACCCCCCCACCCCGACCTGCAAGCGTTCAAATTCAAATGTAAAGCCTATGACAGCTCCACCTCCCTGGCTTCAAATCATCACCCAAGAGTAATACAAACTGTTCTTTTCAATCTGATCATTACTTTTAAGAGAGAACTGAGTTAAAATGATAGCTAAGGGTTACCATGTGCAAGTCCATGGATTCCAGCTACAAGATGTTCTCCACTAGTTGCAGCGTGGTATCGAATGTACTCTCGCTCGGTTTGATGTCTGTTATCCATTGTCTTTCCCAAACCATCTGACAAGGTCCCAGCGAACTGTAAGAGAACAACCTTTTCTGTTATTAAAAGAACAAAAGGTGTTTCTCTTATGTAAATTTACTGAAGAAAATTCCTAGATTCTAGTTGTGAAATACAGATTTATGCAACTCATTTTGTTCCATGTACGCAGTCACTCCAGCTTTTTTGCCATGAAGAAAGCTCTGAAGTACATTAACCTGTGCTTTCCATTGCTGCAACTTAAATCCTGAGGTGACAGTCAAAAACCAAGCAGGTGCCCAACTGCAGTGGTCAAGCCAAAATAAATGAAGCCTGTGAAAGATGTACCGAAAGAAGTGCCAGTGACCCATCTGTAACCTTTCAAAAACTCACAAGAATGTTATTTAGATACAAAACTTTTCTGCTTTTCTTCTGCAAAGATATGTGAAAAGCTTCAAGGCAAATATGCCCGTCATGAAACTAAAACATTTGCGAGAGTTAATTAAATTCTTTTCAGTAACACAACGCAGAAATAGCTCTACTGTGGAAAGAGTTGGTGGGCGAGCCACGCCATGTTCACTGCAGCACATGGGGTGATCCGCTGAAAGACGGCTGTGTTGGTAAGTGTCCACAGGTACTACACACTGTAAAACAGAAGTCTAAGGGGAACCCTGAACGTGTATGTGGAGCATTTTTACTCCTTACACTTACCTTTAACAGTATGGGGGAAGACTTGAGACGTATTTACAGATAAAAGAGGACATCTAAGTCCAAACAGGATTTGTTCTGAGAACTCTGACCTCTACTGAGTACCAGTCAATGAAAAAGCACCAAATAAAAATGATCTATTGTGATCCGTTGACCTTTAGTTTGACGCAATCAGATATAAAACAGAAGCTTGGTGGAGGGAGGGAGGCAAGAAAAGGAGACAAAAAACCCAAAGCCTTACCTCATATTCAGGATATTATTATAGAAAAGGACCCCTAGCAAGCATTTTCCTGGAATAACCTCCAAAAACTAGCTATTTTTTGGTTACACATAGTTGTTCATCTTCTGTACCTCCCTCAACTGGCATCAGCATTCTTACAATCTTCTTTCAATAAATGAACTTCCCCCCCCCGCAAAGGAAAGGTAATTTAATGCTTTGTTGTGTCTTAGACTAGGGCTGGGGAATGTACCAGATGCCACAGGAATGTCAAAGATACTCGATGGCTGCAGCAATGGTGAAATCGTTGCTGTCCTTGCATGATCCTACGTACTCCTCTACGACAAGTACTTCATTGTTTAAGAACCGTATATGGACACTGCCCTTTCCATTGCTCAGCTTAGCTTTGTTGCATGTACTATCTCCTTTGCATCCGTATCAGTTATGTTAAAAAAAACTATGCGATTAAGGTGTGCACCAGAAGACAACTAAAACCTGGGGTGAAATGCTGATTCTAATACACTAAAGATTAAAAAAGAAACAGACAAACAGTTAATTTATGTGCTTGATGCAATTCCCTTCCTTTTTCTGTCATTTTTTCCAAGGCTGCATTTCTTTTTTACTAATGACATGATTCCCTAGTTTTAGATACTTCTTTCCAGCTCTAAGACAAACTGGTCCAGTGGCTCCAATTATCTACACAAGTAGACTTTAACAACATGAATGAAAATTAAATCCCATGACCCTTCTTGTGACTTGATCATACGGACACTAAACAGAACATAGTGATCAGTGACTGAATTACTCCTGACCTCTTTGTGAACTTAATGTAGATTTTTTTTTTTTTTTTTTTTAATTAGCCTAGAAATACAAACCAACCTGAAGCTATCTATTAGCTGTGTTTAAGGTTGCGTTTTTTTTCTGGACAAATACTTTGCTTTAAGAGGATTAGAGTAGTTGCTATAAAAATTAAAAGGCTCAATAGGCCTTCAAAATTCAAACCTCATTAAGGAATCTGTCAAGGCCTGAAAATGATTTTTCACGAACACATTTTGAAAGTTAACTTAGTGCATGATTGGACAACCAGCCCAGGAATAAACCAACTTATTAATATTGATCAAAATTGGTAAGCTCTCCTTACAGCTTTGGCTTTTTTTTTTTTTCCTCCCCCCTCTGTCTAAATTGGCCAGCTCCACCATACCAGCTTTCCCAGTAAATACAATCCAGTCTTTCCTCAGATTTTCCTTCCTCTCTGAAGCAGAATCTGACACCTAACAGTCAATTCTGGTTTAGTGTATAGAAAGAATTTTAATGTAATAGTAAATTGTTCTCTTTGTAAGGAGGAAAAAAGAAAAACAATCACATGCACACAATTTAAAAGTCATAGTCTCCATTAACTGTAAAACCAAAGTTAAACGGGGACATTTTGGTCATGTTATTTAGAAAATAACACTGAATTACAGCTGTAAATAGAACGATTTAAGGATTCTAATGTACCAAATGTACCATGAAATGTTTCCCTTTTGCCCTGACTCGGGTGACAAAATCTAAACTCAACACACGTTAATTACAGATCATGAACTTCATGTTGAATTACTTCTTGACACGCCTCCTCCCCCCTCCCCAGGTACTGTTTGTTTTCTGGCCTCACTGAACAAAGACTGAGGCCGAACTTCTGTAGTCATCTGTACCACTTGTACCTAAAACAACAGGTTACCTCAATGAACACACGTGAATAGGTCCCTTCTGAACAATTTCCAGCTGGGGACCATTGCAGCACTTTTCCTGCTCTGAGGTACAGAATGTAACGTGATCGAGTTTGTCAACCAGGGGTAAAATGCCAGTGAAGACAGAACAACTGAGACATTTCACAGGCGTTAGCAAGTCACATATTAAGGTCTGCTAGGCAAGTGAGCCACTCACCGCTTTCTGCTCTGAAGTTTAGACTCTAATTTGCTATAAAGATTCAGACTGTAGTGTCAGCATTATCCTGATTCATGATCTGAACAAGACCTAAGTAATCCCTCATGTTACCTAATATATGTAATACCACGTCCGTGAAATAACTGCTAGGTATCAGAAAATTTTAACTGCCCTTTTCTGTGCACCTCAGAAGTACTTTCACTGAAATGGTTTCTGAAGCTTATTTCAGCAAACAGGATTGTACCTACCTATACAAGAACGAAAAATAAAGATTTCTAACATTAAAAAAAAAACAAAACACCAACCAACCAACCACAAACCTGCACAACACCTTATGCCCAGTCTGTGTAGACTATAATCACTGTATTAAGAAAAAGTTACTCAGCAGCGGCAAGTTATTTCAGGATCAGAAACTTGAGTAAGCATTGCAAATTTAAGCGCTTTAAGACCAGCTTGAACTTTGAAGGGGGATTTGAACAAGTTAAAGCACAAAAGCAGACTTGCCTTTTTTCCCCCCAGATGTCTTGCTTTTAGATGCCTCCTTTGAGAAGTGCAATATTAGATATTGAGAGTCAGATATTAAGACTTGTGGAAGAGCAGTGATGGTGGCTTATTGAGCTGTTAACCCGGTCATGCAGAAAATAGTCTCCAGATAAACAAAGGTGACAACAAAAGTGCATCCACCCTTGTCTTCCTTAGCTTTTGTTAATAAGGTGTGACCTGATAACTTCAAAGCCTACTTAAGTCCATGTAAATGCCAACATAACTAAACACAAAAGTCTGTGGAATAAACATGAAACTAATCAAGGGACTTCTAAAAACCAGTCTCCCTCCTTCTCTATCCTAATTTTCATAATGATTTCTTTGTCTGCTTGCCAATGAAAAAAAGAAATTAATAACTTGGTCTTTTATCTCTGCATTCTTCCCCATTTCAGATATCCTTTTCCTTGAAACAGAACTGCCACACAATACATCAGTATCAGCTAAGATAAGTTACCTGCTTCCTAACCGAAAGGCACCGAAGTGTTACTGAATGAAGCAGTCCACACATTAGGTACATGTAAGCAGCCAGGTATTTCACTTGTCAACCTGGCATCTCCAAACAAAGCGAAGTATGGGTCTTCCACACTGCTAATTAAAAGTTCTGTCATTTCAGGTACTAAAAATATTTCAACTTACTATTCATATGCACTGTTTAATCCTTTGCCTTATCCATTCTGCCTGGACAGAAAAAGGAGAACCTCTCCAAAAAGCTCCAGTCATCTGGACATTTGTCCACCTTCATTCACCGATACCCTCTTTCTCCTCTGACTAGTTTTGTCCCTGAAGCAGATGGTACTCCCTGCATTTCCCCTCTATGGAGGGACATTGACCTTTTCTTCCAGGTCTCCGTTCCAAAGGCACTTGATCCCTGGTTTTCACCCCACACTGGTTCATATATGACATGAAGCTACCAACTGGTAATACACAGCAAGCAGAAAATATGACCCACTACACTTCATTAACTTAAGCCTATGCGGTCTAACATAAACTGATCCTCCCGAGGAGGGTGAAATACGACGACTTTCACATTTCCCTCCGATTGCCAGGACATTATGCTACTGTGAACACCATCTTTGGAACAACATGTAAACCACTCTCAGCACGTCACGATTATTGAAAATGTTACTACAATTCCATAAGCCTGGGGCACGCTGGCCTTAGCCTTCTCGGTAGATTCAAGTAAACGGAGGATTCATCATTTCTCCTTTTATGTTTACGTAGTGTCACCAATCAATATTAACTATCTACCATGATCTGCAAAAGCAGTTGAAATAGTATATGTACAAGAAACCGATCTACTCATGTTTTGGGGTTTTTTGGGGGGTGTGTGTTTTTCTTTTTAAAGGCCCAATAAGTAAGGAAGTTTTGCCACAAGAACTTTTACCACCAATAGAAGAAAAACAAAAACACCCATATACAGTGTTTGTGAATCAAAGCTGGTGCCAAACAATAAGGCTTATGGGGCACAAGAAGAATTCAAAGCAAATGAAAACTAATTCTAGACTTTGTACTGCATGTTCCCTCTAAGCTGGATGCATGAAGCACACAGCATGGAAATAAGTTTTAAGTAATCTTTTAAAGTCTTTTTAAACTCTTGGCACTGCCTGGTTCTCTAAGGACATCCTAAAAGGATAAATACACAATTATGACTTAAGTCCAAACATTCCAT